GCCGACCTATTACATAAAAAAGAACCTCCATTATGTACCTACTTCATAAAATAATAGATTCGTAGCTAGAGCTAGAATTTGTCCGTCTAATTTAAAATTTAAAACACAAAGCACTTTACAAAATTACATCCGTCGTGGGTGTAGGTAGGAGGTATCCTTAATAAAATTTTATGTCAAAGTAAAGTCATAATTATTCTCTCGCATGTCGTGATCACCTCGGGGCCTTGGCAGGCTTGTCGCATCATAAGTTACCTATTAAATGATACTAAAGTACGTATGTATGTAAACGTTCTTGTAATACAATTAGGTACAGGACGTAGGTACCTATACCCATCAAACGAAACGACCGTCGAACGTTTAAGAAAAGGCCTGGCAACGCACTTGACTCCTTTGGTGTCGCGGCTAGATATTATACACGAGTATGGGTAGCGTTGATCACCTATCGGGTGATCCGTCAGCTCGTTTGCCTCTTACAGGCCCATTTTGCAAAAGAAGGTTTTCCATTTTTCTCTATTAAAAACGTGAAATTTATCAGACAATGCTTGCATGTAAATATATATTGCGTATAAATATAGGACGTCAATATTTAAAACAATCTGTTTGCATAACCTTAGTAAACAGCCGTTAAACATAACGATTCTATTTTTGAATTAGATACTTCAGTCACGGTATTATTAGATTTTTTAATAAAAAAAAAACGGAAAGTTTTATATAGGTAAACAGCAATAATTTTAACTTAGTTTGTAGATCCTAGATAGTCCGGTAGAGCAGGGAAAGCTCGCCCTTTACTTTACGTAAGTAAAGTAACAGTTACCTACATACCTAAATTAACGACTACTTTCCTCCAAAAAGGATCGGTAGTAGATATTTAACACTGTTGTGTTAATTTTAATTCAGCTTATTTAACTACTTATGTCGGGCGCCATTGTTAACTTTGAAAGTGGATATTAGTAGTAAAAATTAAAAGAGGCTTACTTCAATCCCACAACAAAATTGATACCTATAAATAATTAGGTAACTTTTTCTGGGAGAGAAATCATCAAATGACTTCTGCCTTTCTGGGTGGGCGAGAGGGAGTAGGTATGAGACTCTTACTGACTAACAACCGGCAGTTCCTTCTGCCCTGAGTCTTCTCAGACTTCTCCTTCTTCGACCCGGTATATTACCTGGGTATGTACTGCAAGCGGATGCAAGATCCGCAACTGCGGCGGATACTGCTTCTAATGCTGCGGAGTTATATTCCAAGTGTTATGTTCGCAACTTCAGTACTGAATTACCTTTTTATTTTTTAACAATAATCTGCAAAATGAGTTTTTAAAGAGGCAAAACAATGCCTATATAATCCCTGGACCACCGGGTTTTCCGGCTTATCGCCATTCGATAATCAAGAATAATCATAATCCTTAACTTAAATAAAAATTGGCGTGGCTCGTCAATTAGTATGATCAGTTTTTAATAGACTTCCATGGCAATTCTAAGCAAATCAAAACAGGGCATGTAATTTTTTTTCCGAGGTTTTGGTCTTAGCTGCAATCGGAGGTATTTACAATAATAAAAACAAGATGGGCTTGAAGGTGTCTATAATCTATTCGTAGGTACCTTATATTATATTAAGTAGATACCTATTAGTTTATTTCCCACCATATTCAAAAGTATTTACCTAACACTACAAGCAGTGACATTGCCACAGACGACAACTAACACCTGTATCCACAATCAATAAGAATATTCAGTATCTAGGTAGGTATTTTGAATAGTCTAAAGCACTCATAGCTGATGCCGTACTTGCATGACCAAGATATACCGAAATCAATTCGTCGAAGAATATAAAATCCTTCCATAAAATCGTTTCTTATCTTATCATAGCCGCGTGAAACAACTCAAACTCCCCATGGTTACTGCTAACAATAAGTAAATTGGGCGCGGGATCGAAATAAACCTACTTATCACGATTTATAGAGGCTTACGAACTCTGTAGAAAGCTGAACCGTTCAAGTACCCCAATAGAAATAAATACGGAGAAACGAAGGCTCTTACTTAGTTACAAGATCAGTATAATATTTACAGGCCTTTCAACTGTCTTGCTTAAAATAATTAGCCACTAATTAAGTTGAAGTAAGTATAAGGGCTTGGAAACTGAGAAGCGTTTTAATTAGACCGTTTCAGATTTTACCCGCAGTGTTATTTACCTACTAAGTGCGTACGACAGCCTCTCCGGCTCTCCGTGTGATCTACTAGTGTAAGCTCATTGTGACCGTCTGCCTTCTTCTAGGAGCTTTAGAACTTTGCTGCTATCTCAAAATAATAACTTCAGTTACCTTGTTACGAAACAAAGACTTGATTCATAAAAACATAGACGTAAAACATAAATAAAATACATGAAAGACAATCTGAAAGTAAGTAAAATATACACTTGAATAAGTTAAGTTAATATGGTAATGCATGAAGTGGTAGGAGTAAGTGAGTGGGGGGGTTGACGTAAGGATGAAGTGGTGCAGAGCGCTCACCTGGAGTGCGGGAGGCTGCGGCCCGGAGCGGAGCGAAGAGTCGGCAGTGAGTACACAGTACACAGGCGCGCGGCGCCCGGCTGCCCGCACACTGGAGCCGGCCGCCTCCGCCGCCGCCGCCGCCCCGCCAGAGGGCGCACGTTACAACCTCCCGCTCCCATCGATCCACCCTTCACCACTCCGCATCCCTACACTCCGCTTCGCTCTACCCCCTACGACATAGAGCTCCAATTACCCCGGCTGCCCGCAGTCGCGCCTGGCTACCGGTGGCAACCACTCGATGACGTGTGAGCCCTGTTATGATGATTGCACAGCTTTATTTTCACTACCAAGTGCTCGTAATACCGTGTTACCCAATCACTTAATCTGTTTACACTTTGGCAGCCGAAATTTATCGTTATACAAAGATCTTTACAGATTTCATAACTCGCATTTGGGTAAAAGTAAATTAGCATCGTTTAATGTCAACAAACGAATATTTATAAAGTTTGTCGTGATTCTGGCAAAGGAAACAAAGAGTTTTAACAAATAATATAACTTTATTTCATTTAAGAAAATGTAACTCATAAAATCACAACATATCCATGTACATTTTGTCATCACAACATACGATGGTTACTTTACACTTCATTCATTTACATATCTAGATACTTAACATTAATTGACAAATACAAATATATTTATATATTCATACAACACAAATAATAACATGTATATCAATATAAATATGATATGTTCCTTCACGTCTACGATCTCTCGACTTGTATGTATCAATATCATAGCTACTTTATTCCTTTATTTAATGTTGTCTACAAAAAACAAAGCAAATATGACGAGTTTATGTATAAAAATAATAGTATACGTATATTTTAACAAATGGTGGAAGCATTACTTGGAGGCCCACCATACAACAGACACATGCGGAGTAATTATTATAAATAAATTACACATACTTAGTTCGACGCGAACCTGAATAAACTAACAGCATACAAGAGTCTACATTCTGTAGCTCTTTAATTAATAACTACGCAGTATGAATATATGTAGCAATATTTACATTACAAATGTTCGTATGTACTTGTTTATTTCTTCAAAATGTTTAATATTTATCTATATACTGAATCAATTCCTCGAGTAATATTGCCAGATGTAATAAAAAATAGAAGTATGTAGCATGTTCCGTAGTATAAAAGTAGTAGATAACAAAGTTATTTTCACAATCTTATTTTATTTAATACGTAAAATCTATCATTCTGTAATATTACGAACAGCTCCAATAGCTGTAAGTAGTTATAATATTTACAACCTCAAAATTTGGCTATTAAATTAAAATTATTTTAAACATGCTTTGTTTTATTGTGTAAAAAAGGCCCCGAAAGAAATAAGAATCCATTTTGTAACAATATACAAACAATATTTTGGTAAGGTTTCTTTTGAAATTAAAGAAAAAAAGTTTCATTTGAATAAAAAACGAAAAGAATATTTTTTGTTAGGAGGTTGAAAAGCCCAGATCTAAAATACCACTTGACTTAAGATGGGATCCTTGTCTATGTTTATGAAATGTCTATAAGAAGACAGGCTCATTAATGCTTCTAAGGTAAACATGATTAATTTAATCATTTTTTATTATTCAACTATCTACCATAATATGTATACTAAAGAATGGATTTACAAGAGACATAGGTAGGTACATGAATAGTGAATTTTTAGTAAAACGGAGCACCCTTTAAATATTTATCTAAAATCTACACAATATTTACGATTTATAGTTTATACATTCACAATAACATTATGTTTTTTGAATATAACGACTTATTCACGTGATTTAAGTGAGAAAAGCTTTAAGTCACAGCGAGACTCGAGCTAGACTGGTAGTGAGTTAGATAATTCATGTGAGTAAGTCGTTTGAGTTACTTTCAATAAGTTTAGTATATTTCACTATAGTTACTATTCAAAAATAGCATAATGTATTAAAAATAGGTACTACAATTTACTAAAATATAAACGTATTTGTACATAGTGGTGATGGTATGGATGACTGTTAAAACTAATAACATGCATCGACAATAATACTTTATAAAGTTTATACTTTACTTAAATAAATACAATTTATTATGAATCGCAATCAGATGAATGTTACAACGCCTTGCAAGTAACCACAGCATGATCTAACAAGACGTTAAATACTAAAATATGAAATTTATTTAATAATCCATTATTTAATTAATTAATTACATGGTACAACCCTTGAAATATAAGGTACACGTGTAAAAATAATTTAGTACATAATATTCACAAGAGGATTTTTATTTTAATTTATTAAAGTGAGTGCACTTACTGGTTCGTTCGTGCAGATATTAGAAACTACTTTTTAATAAAATTTAAATTCTGTATCAAAAAACACATCGAAAGCCAAAAAATGTTATTAACTAACACTAAACATAATATAGGAAGAATTTTTACAGTCTGCAGACATTTTACAGTCTGCAGACAGCTATTTTATACGTTACAAAATAGTTATTTAGAAGCATTATTACAAGATTTTGGAACGTGTTTTTGTAGAAAACAACTAGGAATTATATTCGTCACAAACATTTTCTTGTACATATACCAAAAAGGTAAAATGGAATAAAATATCGAGGAATGTAAATATTTCGTAACACCTCATTATAAAAGCAGAAACTGTAGATTTACTATTACGAAAATCATTGGCTTTCATAAAAAAATTACACTGCACATACGTTAGTAAACGTCCCCCTAGATAGTGAGTCAACACTAGAAATCTTAATCATAAAAATGTTGGTTCCTCGGGGACACATTAATAAATTGTTACAATATAAATACACATTAGTATCTCTTGTATATTTTATACTTTTTATCTAAATTGGCATTTTTACGGAAGTTTAAATCTAGAAGTTATTGTACCCTACAAGTTGCGTAGTACTGATTATTATTTGGAGTCTTATCATAAACAAATATTTACAAGTTCCAATGTACAATTATATGTTTATAGAAGCCCTTTCCAAGTTGTATTGTTGGGGCATATATCTCACTTTGTTAACAAATTTAATAAAATTATATAGATGCTATACATAAAGTCGTAGGTATTTAAAATATAACATGTATTGTACTTTAATATAAGCAACACTTTCGAGAATTATTGCTGTCGTCAACAACCCGTCTTGCTATGCTAAAAATGCTTGCTTGTACTAATATTGCGTATAAATTATGAAAATTTTATTTACTTCTTGTAAAATTTGATTTTGGCTATCCACATTACAATTAATATTTTAAACCTATCAAGCATTTTTAGACTTACAATGCGTCTAATCGATAGGACTAGTTCATCACCTTAAAAGACAAGTAAACATTTTGGTCACTCTAATTTAAATAACTATCGACATCGATGACTATTTCACCATTATATAAACAATAAATGATCATCATTAGTATTTCTTCTATGACCCTCGTTGATATTAATTTAGGCACAAACCTATAGCACCGTCTACCTAAGGAATTATTGCAACCGCTAGAACGTAATAAATGTCTAATTCGATTAACAATTTTCGTTAAATTGTCCAATATCAGTTCGCACCATACATTTTGGTCATCGCTTGGGTTTGATATAAACTTTCAGTTGGAGAGTATTTTCACACAACCCGTGATCATATTACGGAGATTATCGTCATAATATGTAGGGAAGGCAGAGTACCGAGTAAGGGGCACAGAAGGCGATGGAGGCGATGGACGTCCTGATCGCGTTGGACGGCCGGGCCTCGGCCGGCTGGTGCTATAAGTCGGTCTCCGTCCATTGCTAGTCGCCCCGACGCAGCCGCCTGGCCGCCGCAGTGTTGTGGCGGTACCACCAAACCTGCAAAACCACAACTTGCATCACAACAAGAATAAACAAACTTTTATAGCTCTCGTGACGTGTACGGTACTCGATTAAACGAATTCTGTCACTTTACTGTGTGACAGTTTCCATTGGGGCGGTTATTTTAGTTACCATCACTTTTACATTAAAATGTAATCTCAATCGAGCACAGACGTCACTAGAGTGTGTTTACCGAAGCGTGAGGAACTGTATGACGTGTTTTGCATATAGATCATCTGGTCGCATGTCACACTAGGTACCTATATCGTAATTAGACTGCAGCGTAATAAAACTGTGCTGTAAACGTTAAAATTTGCAGAGACTAGATATATCGGAGTTTTATAGGAAAGGGACATTGATGATAGGTACTAAGGATAGATAATAAGGGTGATCATTGCACTCACCGTAGACTGCGAAGCAAGTAATTTATGTTCACTGGTTGACCTGGGTTTGCTTCATTAAACTTTATTGTAGATGAGCATGATTACCTACTTGCTTTGATTGAGACGATGCCCTACGATTATGAAAATGTGGGTGGCATGTAACAGCCATGCACAATAGTTTGTCCAAACATTCTACCGTTACGGATTGCACAGCTTTAGCATCTGATGTCTGCGTCACAGATTTGCCCCCGGAAATTATATTAACACGCCCTACTGATGCGTTCTCCGGTCCAATAGTTTGTGTGAGAGAGATTACAGACGCAATCACTACACAGGAGAAATTCCAGTCGGGCTCGCGGGTTCAAGCGCTGTTATGTACCGCGAGCCCGGCCGGATCAGGAGAAGGAACGGGGAGGTTTTTAGTCAGTAAGAGTCTGACACTCCCTCTACACAGGAGAAATGACTACAGGTAACGTTTAGAAAGTGCATGCACCATTAGGGTAGTAGGTATTAAAACAAACAAAACAAAACCTAAAAACCAATAATTTGCCAAACAAAAGCAAGCAGCACAAAAGCGTTTAGATGACATTCAAAAACCCGCCGGCTACATTGTTTGCATAAGGTGGAATTTCTAGTGTTCGCCGAACCCGATTCGTAGTACGTCACTCACCCCTTACAGGTAGGTAACCCGTTGCTAAAGCGAGGACTGAATATCGGAAGGCTGGGCTCCCACATGCGAACCGATATCGTCAGAGTGTCATCACCTGACCATCTGTAAGCCAACCGTTGGTATTACGGCTAGTCAGCCCTTACGAGCTACGTCGGAACAACATTTAAGGCGGCGACGTCACCAAAGACCCTGTGCTTGCTTCAAGGAAATAAGCTATAATTTAAATTATACTCCAAAGTAGGTAAAATTCGTTGTGCAAGTGTTATTTCTCCTGTAAATTCATGAATAAGTACAGCTGTAGATTGCGTCAGTGTACCCACAAGGTTGCCGAATTACAAATATTTATTGAAAGAAAACAAACTGTGGCGCAGTTTCCCGGAGATAGTGTTTTAAGACGAATAAGCATTTTAAAATGTATTTGTACTCACTTGACATAATATAACGACATCTAATGAGACTTGAAGGCTCCCACACAACCAAAACTGAGGAGGCGCTTCTCTTAAAACGAAGTATGCAGTCTTGAACACATCACCACACGTCCACATTATCACCATGCTAACACTGAAATGTAAATGAATGTCGTTAATCTTCGTGCCCATCGACTGATAAATAAGATAAGGTCTTTAGATCTCTAGGTCTAAGGTCAGATTTGGTCCTTTGTCGTTGTTGCATTTGTCAACTCTTCATAGCCAAGTTGGAAACGAAAATTTTACAATTTATTTTATATTTTACTAGCAGACCCAGCCACGCGTTGCTGTGGCTTAGGTTCTTGTCAAAGTAATATATATTGTGACTATAAATTGAGATGTAAGCTATCCTATCTTTCAAGTTGGATCAAAATGCACACGGAATGCAAATCAAATTTAAAATCGGTTTAGTAGTTTAGGAGTCCATCGCGGACAAACAAGTGACACGAAATTTTCATACATATAAAGATAGAAACGGACCATGCCGAATGACACAGAAATGGGCAACGATATGAATACTTAAACGTAAATTAGACAGAATAAAGAAGAAGGATGTCTAAGAAGACTTAAATATAATAAATTGAAATAAAATTTACCTCATGCCCTCAGTACTTTTATTCTTATAATTTTTAAATATCTGAGGTGCACCAAGCATGGCCTCGGTGAATAGAGCGAGGAACCCGATAAGTTCTACGAATGGCGAGAACTCTATAAGGAGGTAGGTGATCGCCGCGCCCAACACCGAGAACACCAACATACAGTCTACATAGCTCTGGAAGTCTGTCCAGGCCCAGAAATACTTTCTTTCCATATCTGGAATAGATACACCATAGTTATTAATACAACGATAATTTTCTAGTTGGATAGTCTGGCACACGATTTTTGATAGAACATGGAATAGTGTAAATAAGGATGGGTTTTTACTTATGGAAAATTTACACATGAACGTAAATGCATAATCTATTTTAGAGCAGTATGACAAAGGATGGTAAAATCTCTAGCGTTTTGCCGACTAAACAAAGCGTCATTGGGTTTTTCAAATAACTGATGTAAAATGGGCGGATTGAGGTAAGTGCACTTGGTACCACTTATTTATCCCATTTAGGCCACTCTCGACGTCAGTTTATTTTCCAGCCAAGTTTATGTTTGCTCTCGACTCCCAAAGTACAGTATGCCGTGAAGGGTTATTTTATTACTACATTTCAAATAAAAAAATATACGTACGACGACATAACTAAGTACTTATTACCAAATACCGCGCTGTGGTATACGCCATATTTTCGGGCACCCCGACCGTTAGGTTGGAACTGTGACCCTACTCGGTAGTAATGTGCATCGCGATATTAGCAATTCGATTAAAATTCCTTTTATCTGAACCGAAATAAAATTTACATTCACCAAACCCCAAGCGAACACCCGCATCCGCGCACCTATCGTTCTTTTTGTGTGTCTCGAATTACCACGATTTATGGGTTAAGATACTTATTGAAATTGGGTCGAAAGGGTCAAGTGTGAACTATGTTTAGGGGTTAAGAGGAAACCAATAAGCTAATCGTTTTCTAGGGGGGCCGAGAGACCGGGAGTGGACTAAACGACTTATCCTGTTGGCATTAAAAAGAGGTGTTTTCGTCATTCATATGAAGTAAACATAAAAAAAATGATATTATCTAACGTTTAACGCGTATTTGAAAAAAAACAGTATAATTTACATGCAATCTTTAGAAAAAGTTCATGTGCCAGACTAAAATAAAAATGTACAATTTCAACCACACCACATATAATTAATATTGCATACTGTACAATGCTAGTTAATTTTGTTAGTTGTGTAATTTGTTAAAAGATATAATTATAGATACCACAATGCTTACAATGAAGTAGGAAATCATGCCAAAGCAAATGACATCAATAAACAGATAAGATATCTGGCACAAAATTGACCCATTCGTGACTCCTTAGATACCAAATGACTTGTATAATTACCAGAGCATTGAACCGAGGTTATATACATATGTACTGTAGCTTAAATACCAAAATACATCAATAGTGATATAACACATATGATATGGCCATGACGAGCTGATAAAAAGTTACTATGAACAATACAACTACAACAACTATTTATTACTTTAACCTTCACCATTATTTTTTACTACACCCAATATTGAAGACATGCAACAACAAATAATAATGCAAATAAAAATATGAAAATGTAAAACAAAAATTAAAGATCCCATATCATGTGACAAACTCCACATAATATTGTCAAAGCATGGGGTTGCTGAAACAAAAACAACAATGATGACTTGCACATGAGACAAATTGCAGCAATCCTTATGACATGAAGGAGAGAGCTGGCACTCACCATAGAAGCGATGGGGCTTCTCCCCGCCACTGAAGCCGCTGCGCTGATCCAGCCAGCGTGCCGTTTGATCCGGCTGGTCTGAGCCGTTCACACAACACAACAGTATATATAACATGAATATTGCACCTAATTTCACCATCAATCACACCAACCACCAAACAGAACATAAAATAATGTTAAAGTAAAATTAATTATAGCAAATAAAATAGAAGGAAGTTAGTGGGTTACCAATGTTGCTCATATCATTGATATGATTGAGGAGAAATAATAGAAGAAGCAATAAATACAAAAGAAATAACTAAGAAAGTTAAAAATAAACTTTGTTAAACTACAGGATTCATAAAGAAATGAGTTTAACTAGCAAAAAATAATATTCAATGCATATAGGAAGTTTTTACAGTGCAATGTATTATTTGTGATTTCTACTAATAAATAAATACAAAAATTATAACCATATTCATCAGTAAGGGTTATTTTTACCAACCTGTGAATATTCTCTCTCTAGCTCTAACAATTTGGTTCATTTTTCGTACATTTACACAGAGATGTATCATCACAAACATTGTGATGTTCATTACTATACTCTGGATTAATAGAGGTATTTCATAGCGTTTACCAAACCTGTAAAAAAACAATAGTATACAAGTTAAAACTTTTTACAACATTGCTGAGTCATATTTATGTAGTATCAATGAATCACAGTGAGTTTACTGATAAAAATATCTGATATATTTTTTTTATTTAAGTAGTTGAGTAAAACATAGATAGCCATCCACAAATTATCAGAGGAAATCTCATAATTCTGTAGTTTTAGCGATAATTAAAAATATTACAATGAAACTCTAATATTTTAAAAACTGTAAAGAGGACAACATGACTGATTTTTCTACTGGGACTTGATATAAACAAACTCCAAATCTCTAACCATTTCCAGTTAGGATTGTTGAGCCAATGTATGTTTCAATGCAAATATCAGGAATTTGAATAACATATTCAAATGTTTGTCAATTGGCAATTTTATTCTTATGTTGTTGCCAATGAAAATGAATTAAATTGTTCATTGCATAATTTACATACTATTTCAATTTTAATAAGGGTTTTAAGTAAACCAGATTCAGTTTTTAATACATACCAAAACAATATCCTCAATGTATTTGCTATAAGTAGAGCTAAACAAACATATAGAGAGAATCCTTCAGCATCTTGTGTTCTCTTGATTTGTCTGTACTGTGGGATGTAAGGGGCGACGCCACCTATTATCATAGCACCAGCTGCTCCCCAACCTACCAGATGGCCCACAGTAAGCCCTAATTCGTCCGAAATGATCCAATCCATTATTTCGTGTTTATAAAACGTCGAATATCAAACTATAAAGTTAGTATTTTCTGATATTGTAAGTGAATCACATTAATCACAAACCTCATATTTACGAATATTTAACATATTAACTATTTATTAAAGCAATAAATAATTTAACTTAGCGCTACAATACAACGCAAATCGATCGATAAAAATGAACCGCGTTTCTGGTTTTTTACTTATTCGTTTCATAAATCGAGTTATCTCCTAAAACAACTTCCAAAGATAGAGAAAAAGATAATCAATATGCTTAAAATGTCAAAACATCCCGAACACATCATGAGTTGTCAGAATCTTAATGACATAAGAATTACCGTTCTGAAATTAGAAAATGTAATTGTTATAAAAAACTTACCATACAAATATTATTATTTCAAAAATATTATGTTAATTCACGACTTATATCTTCAAAGACCCTATTCGAAAAGTATGTAAAACTGGTAAATGCGTGAAACTGTTGTTTATAAACCTATTTTTGAAAATAACAATGTTATCGTTATCAGCTGATAGTGACGTTATTGATTGGCTGTCACCTTTGTAAAAATAAATACGAACGAAGATAACCTCCCTGGGTTTTAGATATATTACTGTGAAAATAGTTTGCTGTGAATTGAATAATGACTATAATATCAAAATTATTTACTGTTTTACGCAACCCTAATACGATTGAATGTGTCCCTGCATTATTACAGTCATCAAAATATAGCAATGTCCGCTGTTACTCAACCCGCAGGGAAAGCAGTTTGGCTAAGGGTCAAGAGAGAAGCGATGTGTCTACAGATGTCCGACCATTAGGGGAAAAAATTAAAGAAACTACTAAGACTGCAACATATACTGGAGTAATTTTGATTGGAGTTGGCGTCACCGGTATCATATTTTATTATGTCTTTCGGGAATTGTTTTCTAGTAACAGCCCTAACAGCATTTACTCAGAGGCACTAGAAAAATGTAAAAGAGTAAGTACCTATCAAAATAATTATTATGTATTTCTTACTCATCTGTTGAGTGCAACAGTAGAATGGAATAACCCTTGCCAAATTTAGGGCATTTGTCAGAATTTCAACTTTTATGATTATCACAAGCCCTATGATAAATAATTGTTTAACTTACGACTGAATATTTTCAGGATCCAAGAGTGGAAGATGCTTTAGGTTCCCCTATCAAAGGTTATGGAGAAGAAACTACCAGAAGGAGGCGCACTCATGTAAGCCATGCTGTGTATGAAAAGGATGGAGTCAAACACATGAGGATGAGGTTTTATATCAAAGGAATCAGGAACAAGGGCATTGTTGAACTTGATATGAAACAAGTAGGTTAAATTCTATATACAAAGTAACAGTTTTTTTATTTATTTTACCATAAATTTATTAAGTCTATTTATTAATACCTACATTTTACATTTGTTTCAGAATGAATATGGTAATTATTTATGTCGTTACCTGTTAGTGCAACTTGATGACTACTCTGCCAAGACCTTCATTATTGAAGATAATAGGGCAGAACTGGATAAGAAAACAGATTTTAGCAGTGCACTCTCAGCTCTGACCATTAATCAGTGAATAAATTTCTATAAACTTGTAAATTGTAAAAAGTAACATAGTTTAAGTAGTATTTGCAATCTAAATAAAAATAACAAATTTATAACCAATCTTTTTATTTTTGGTAGGATGTTTTGGACTTATAATTAAATTAATTGTTTGAGGTATGTTGGATAGTCACTTGGCAAGCAAAAATGTTAATAAGATCAATAACAATCACATCACTTTTATTGATCCAGAAACTGGAAGACATGGCATATTTTTTTGTTCTATTGTCTTGCAGATTAATTTCATTTGTTGTTAGTAGTATTTCTTTTTTGTTGCTATTTGCTGTTTCTTCCAAGGTAGTATCTCCCAGGCCATAACCAATCGGTTATTGAACACAAACTTTTTAATTCTGTTGAATATCCAATAGAAGACCACAACCAGGGAAAGATATTGCGGCCATGCCCATTTAATTTCTTGAATCAGACTTGGTGTATATTTTACTTCCATTTCTGGCACTCTAACACTAACCTGTATTTGTACTGAACCTGTATGTCCATTCTGGCTTCTTGAATACAAGGATTTTGTGTGCGTAGTCACTGAAACCAGTACAAAAAGCTGAGCGAAAGAGCTGGATCAAGATCACACAGTGTATTGGGAGATTTCAAGCAAATGATGTTTCATTAAGCTAAGAATTTAGTTTAGCATGATCAGCACCAGTTAATATAAAAATGAACAGAAAGAACTAGATATTAACCTTACCTTCTCTCATATAGTACTTCTCTAGTATTTGGTCTATTGTATTTCCAGATTTGTTTTTATCATAGATAAATACAGAACTATTATATTTAGTGTCCACAAGGTTTTGTTTGCAGGGTAAATGCCTTGTTTGGTAGAACTCAAGATCAGCTAAATATTTAAACCCTGAAGGTGGTGTTGTGAATTCCTTATTCACAACTGCCAAGCTCTGCATTTGGAGCGGACAGACCAACTAAAATGGAAAAAAATCTATAAATCAATTTGAATGTTGATGGAAAATATGTAACTACATTAAATCTTAGAAAGAACATACCTTTAGTTGAAAATTTAATGCTAGCATTAGAATTAAAGATGTGACTGTTCTATCCTGTGGCACATTTAAGAAGAATTTAAAATCTAATAAATCATTATTAGTATCTCCAGTGACATCATACTCCTGAACCTAAAAAGTAATGGTTTTGATTAGTTAGTTATTCATATAATGTACAGGTTTGAAAGGGCACTAAGTATATGTCTAATGTTTTTTTTAATAAGTCTTACTTGGAATTCAACACAGTTCTCTTCATTTTTCATAAAATCTCCAAAGCTTTCATTAGTTGCACCACATTGTATTGATACAGTGGGATCATCAGTCTCTGCTATTAGTAAGTATTCGTAGGTAAATTGAACAACAGGCTGTTCATAAAAACTGTGAGATCGAAGCCAAAAACCTGAAGACAATTTTTTATTGGTTAAGAACACAACATGACGTAATGAAAATAAATATCAGTGTTTGTATATTATGAAAGTTCTTATTCCTTACCTCTGCCTCTGTAAGCTATTATGAAAGGTAAAATAAAGTTTAAAACTGTAGTAGTTAAAGTAAAAAGTGTTGCTTTTGATAGAAAGCAACTCATGTACTGAACTTCAACATTATAACTAAATAGCTTATAGAGACCCATTTTTTCGAGCCATGTATCCGTAATAAAAATCTTTATACATTACAAATATTCAATTCAACACAAGCTTATGTTGGTTAAGTTGCTAGATTTTGCCATAAATATTTGACATTTTATTGATCAACAACAAACTGTTGCTAAGCAACGTAATTTAGTGTTGCTAGAAAAAGTAACAAAAAATTGTTACCCTTTAAATTAAACAAAATTCAATAGTATTAATTTACAAACATTATTTGTAAAGAAGACTATATTGAGGTGTCATCTATATCACAAAAGAACACAAAAAATATCTTCCACATTCTTACAAAATGTCAAAAAGTAAAAATTGTTTGTATTGTATGTATTGTTACCATTGAGTACCACGTCTTCTTCGCCAGTTATGCCTAGATACTCCGTTCGTTCAAGAGAAAATTATGCTAAAATAATGTTAACTTAATATTAAATTAAGTTAACTTAATATTAAATTAAGTTAACTTTACCTTCTCTTAAAATAAAATGTCGTATTTAACAAGTAAAGTATTGGAACTACAATTCCTTATTAATTAGTTGGTAGTAGGTAGGTACCTACTCTTTACTCCCCTCACATCTATCTTGTATTTGCGGTCTCTGTCGTTAGACTAAAAACAAAGGACTGGGTATTTGGTAGCGGTGTCAGTTATCTTGTTTTATTTTGTACAATAGACGTAGACATTTTACAATTAGGTACGTACATGTAAATGTGTTTACTGAATTAAATCTCATTAATACAGTCGGGTAGAAAAGTTCTAACAAAAAAATCACACTATACGAACTATCCAAACTTTTGAACCATAAACTATATTTAATATTATAAATTCGAAAGTAACTCTGTTTGTCTGGTTGTCTTTTTATCACGCCTAAACTACTGAACCGGTTTGTGTGAAATTTGGTACAGACATAGTTTGGAACTCGAAAAAGGACATAGGATAGTACTTATACCAAAAATCTACAGGAAGTCACTATTCTACGCGAACGGAGTCGCGCTCAAAAGTATTTTTATAAAATTAAGTAAAAATGAAACAATGAATTTATTTTTGTAAAAAGATCATAACACGGCACTTTTACACGTACGTATGTAGGTATGTGGCTGAAATTAAACATACAGACAAATGAAATTAAATTTTAACACCCGATTTACCGAATGGTCACTGCTGTGCTTGTAATGCTGGTTATTTTATTTTGGTTTTGCGAGTATTTAAATTTTGGAAGAGCTGGGTACTTACTTACTTGCCGTCAATTTTCCAGTCTTTACCTATAGAAACGATCAAACGACCTACATAATTGTAAATTAATCAATATAACATTATACCATATATAACACCATACATAACATTATATGGTTCATTAAAAGAAGAACATGATATTACCCCTGCCTATTCGGACCCATATGTATAAAGGACATGGCCAAAAAAGTACATTCCACGTACACACACATAATTAATACACTGTAAAATACAAATATAAATATGAATTATTACGTAGTTTTTAGCCTCTCCAGACCTGACAATTATTATTAAAAAAATGTAAAAGTAGGTAATGCATGTAAACGTACAATCCATATACAAACATTATAAAATACACTGTAAAATAAAAATAGAAAAATAAATTATTACGTAGTTTTATTTTATTTATTTTCCTTAATACATAAATCATTATTATTAATTCTTTTGTTTTATTTTATAAATAAATAATACGCCTTATGGTTTTTAATAGCAAATCCTATTTTTTGCTTATTGCCAGTAATCTGACAAAAGGTTTAGTGAAATTATTATCGTCTAGTGTGTTGTAATGACAAATTCTTCATGTGTTTTATTTATCGCAATTTAATGTAACGATGTTCACGAATGTAAGACCTCAAAAATCATTGATAATCCTTGAATTCAATAACTATGCCAACGCCCATACAGAAACGAACATTCCATATACACAAACATAATAAAATACACTGTAAAATAAAAATATATAAAAGTGAATTATTACGTAATTTTATTTTATTTATTCTCCTTAATAAATAAACCATTATTATTTATACCTATTTTTTTGTTTTATTTAATAAATAAATAAATAATTCAAACGCCTTAAGGTTTTTAAAAGCAAATCTTATTTCGACTAAAGGTTTAGTGAATCTATTTCCGTCTTGTGTGTTGTAATTACGAGTTCTTCATGTGTTTTATTTATTGCAATTTAATTTAACAATATTCACGAATGTAAACACCAAAAATCATTGATGTGCCTTGAATTCAATAACGATGCCAACGCCCATACAAAAATTGGCCATGTCCTTTAATTTTTAACATTTTTTTACATAAATGTACCTACGCTGTAAACCCAGTGTTAGTTAAAGTTGTAACTAGTCCTTTGTAAGAGAGGCGTACTTGTTTCCCCTACGAGTCAGTGAACATAAACAATAGCACTCCTAGGAGCTAGGGATTCTGGCGCCTGTGTTGTTAACTGACACCTAAGGGCGGTGAACGATCCTTTATGCCGACTAGCACTATATAAAGCTCCCAAAACTTACCAACGACATCATTCGCTCTGCGGTGTCATCCCGGAGCACAGTGAGGTCCTTTAGCGGGACTCGGAAGTCTTGGATACACGTTCAGCAACAACGCAAGGATGTCTATGGTCAGGCGATCTAGCATGGACAGAATGTCCTCAAGCATGACGTCCAGCATGACTGGAATGGGCTTGGGCGGAATAACTGGACTGACATCAGGCATGAGCACGCTGAGCTGCATGAGGGAGCAACAGATGACAATTGGTGGAATGCCTTCGAACTATGTTCCGGGGTTGTCTGCCTACTATAACATCTCTAGCTTCTGCCAACGTCCTGGACAAACCCGTCGTTGGCCGATGCAGCGCGCTGGGCCGACAGCTCAGCACCGTCCCGGCCGCTCTCATAGCACCGGCTCGCTGCACCGTATGAAGTATTCGATGAGGAACAGTCCTAACACTCAGTACACTCATAACTTGATTTGCAAGATGGCCGACCAAAACGAGCGTCGCCGCCGTCAAGATACTATGGAGATGATTCCTCAGAGTTATTATTCGCAGCAGCCACTCAAGGTCGAGCTCACTGAGTTCTACTCTCGAGACAACTCCAAAGACCATCACACTGAACAATATGACTTGGTGAACGACAACATTCTTCCCAACCCAGTTCTCAGGAGAGGTCAAAACTTCTTCTTTGCTGTTCGGTTCGACAGGACTTACGACAAACAACAGGATATGATTCGCATCGTTTTCTGCTTTGGTAAGAAATTCAGTAAATCTCTAGAAAAAAATGTTTGGTTGTTTGTTTGTCACAAAATATCATGGTTTACGAATAATTTTTTGCTAATGACATATTTTTACAGGTCCAAAGCCAAGCGTTACCAAAGGAACTCGTGTCGTTTTGCCTGTAAACTGGAGCAACCAGCAAGGTGTATTCCAACATTCTCGTGACATGATGGGCATGGGTTTGGGAATGGGAATGTCTCGTATGCAAGATACAAGTACTAGCATGGCTCCTATGGGAACGATGAGTACTATGGGCAACATGGGAGCCATGGGAAGTATGGGAACAATGGGCTCTATGGGTCCCATGAGTGGTATGAGAGAGACTACGACATACGGCGTCCGCCGTAGTTCGTTTAGCAACGAGCCCTTGCCATTGCAGCATAGTCCACTTAGTCCTCATGGACCTATGGATCGTCCTATGATGGATCGCTATGGAGGAACAGGGCAGCATTCGACATTTGGTCGTGGATATGGTTCACGTCATGGCTCTATGCAGAATTTGGCAGCTCTTGCTCACGACATGGACAGGTGGGACATCAGCATTCAGCGTCAAGATGGTAACACGATTACCTTCCAAGTTCACGTACCAGCTACTGCTCCCGTCGGCGTATGGAACTGCTGGGTTCAAACCAATCGATTTGGCCAGCGCGATAACCGCCACGACTACAAATGCGATGAAGATATCTATATGCTGTTCAACCCTTGGTGTCGCGAGGACCCCGTCTACATGGACAACGAATCATCCAGAAAGGAGTACGTGCTCAACGAACAAGGAAAGATCTGGTGTGGAACTTGGCGTCAGCCGAAGGGTCGCAAATGGATTTACGGACAATTTGATGACGTGGTGTTACCTGCTTGCATGTACTTGTTGGAACGGAGCGGTCTTGAGCATTCAGAACGTGGTAATCCGATTCGTGTTTGCAGAGCTATTTCGTCGATGGTAAGTCATCCAAACACGAAGTTTTACATTCATTAAGGTATTCAATGACGGGACGGTTAACAAGTCTTTTCTTTGTAGATAAATGCGAACCACGACGATGATGGCCTAATGGTTGGCCGTTACGACGGCGAATACAAAGATGGTGTTGCACCACACGCTTGGACCGGCTCCGTGGCTATCATGGAGCGTTACCTCACGGACGGAGGCAGGCCAGTCGAGTACGGCCAGTGCTGGGTATACTCCGGCCTTGTGGTCACAATTTGCCGTGCTCTTGGTACCGTATTTTTTGCAATAGACATTATTGACTGTACTAAAGAAACATTTGGTGTTTAGTAATCTATTTTGGTTGTAGGTATTCCTTGTCGTTCTGTTACCAACTACGTATCAGCACATGATACGAACAGAACCTTCACAGTGGACAAATACTTTGATCGTGATGGCAATGAAGTACCAAATGGACCGGACGAAGATTGCTACGATTCCTGCTGGAACTTCCATGTATGGAACGATGTATGGATGCAACGACCTGATTTGCCTCAAGGTATAACTGGAACTTAAAAATAGTATACCTAAATATTTGACAGACTGGATTAATGATTGCTCATTTATCGTTGTCTGATACAGGTTACAGTGGCTGGCAGATCATTGATTCCACACCCCAAGAGGAAGCTGAAGCTGTGTACCACTGCGGTCCGGCTAGTGTTGAGGCGGTGCGCCGCGGCGAGGTTGGCTTCCAATATGATACACCCTTCATGTATTGTCAGCTTAACGCAGAACTTTGCCACTTCCAAGAAGAGGAGAATTCTGAATGGGGTTTCATTAGGATGGCTTCGAACCAGTATCAGTGAGTAGAAAGAAAATTATATTTTAAGAATCAATAGATATGGTTTGGCGAGTATAAATCACTTCAATTGCCCTTTATAGAGTTGGCCGCAAGATTCTTACCAAGAACCCGAACCGTGACGATGATGAAGGTGACAGTGATATGCTGGAGATCACGCACGAATACAAGACGGTGGACAGCTCGTCTCCGGAACGCCTGGCTGTCATTGCATCGTGCCGCGGCTACCAACGTTTGCAGCAGTATTACGAATATCCAGACCGCAATTTCGAAGATGTCTACTTCGATCTTATGGACATTGACCTCGTGCCTTATGGACAGCCGTTCGATTGCACGATGAATATTCAGGTACTGATAATTCTGATTGGTCAGATATACATAATTATAACGGTGGCTTTATTTAAGATGAATGTTTCACATTATTATATTGTTATTATAGAACAAATCGCATGAGGATCGTACCATTTGGTGCGTCTTGACCGCTTCGTCATGCTACTACACTGGCGCCATCGCGTCACGACTGCGAAGGGCCCAAGGAGAGTTCATTGTACGCGCAGGACAGCGTGAAGTATTGAAGTTGCACGTGACACCACAAGAGTACATGGACAAGCTAGTAGATCATTCCATGGTGAAGGTGCATGCCATGGCTTACGTAAAGCAAACACGCCAGGCTTGGTCAGATGAGGATGACTTCCCACTACACAAGCCCAGGATGCAAGTGCAGGTGGTTATTACTTTAAAACAAGTATCAAAGTATATTATTAATTATATCATTATTCCTAATATCACAACTACTTTATCGTTAGGTGAGGAGCCAACCATGCATAGGACAAGAATGTGCTGTCACATTCAGCTTCCAGAACCCATTGAACGTTCACCTGACCGACTGCTACTTTACGTTTGAAGGACCTGGCGTGCAGAGGCCACGACAGGTAACAAGTTATCCACTTGTTGTACTTTGTTGTTGAGACAAATAAAACGAGCTATTACATACGTTTTGTTGCTTTTAGATAAGATTCCGCGACGTGAAGCCGGGTGAGTTCGTAAACTACCAGGACAAGTTCGTGCCACGACGACACGGCGAGCGTCGCATCGTGGTGACGTTCTCGTCGAGGCAGTTGGACGAGATCTTCGGTTGCACCACGGTGAATGTGCGCGGCTAGCTAGCCCCCGGGCCCCGAGCAACCTCGCCGCGCACCTCGCCGGGGCCTGCCTCTCCTCCTGCGCTGCAGATGGACCGATCCTACGTTTCCTACGTAGCACCAGAACAGCATTTGTATGTTCAAGAAGAAGAGGTCGTCATCATAAAGACCACCTCTTAAATGTCCACTTATGGCCATGCGTACTTGGCTTATATTATTATTTCTTATTTATGACAAAACTATTTATTATGAGTTTTTTTATTGAATGTACGAATGTTGCATCTAGGATACTTTGTTAACTTACTAACGACCAACGCGATAACGATGACTTGGCAAGATTTAAAGGATTTTAGTTATATGTACTGATGTATATCGTTTGTACCACGAGCACATTTCAAATGAAAAATAACAAAAAAAGTAATTTTATAATCATTCACGTTTTTCACTGTGTGATAATAACATTATGATTTGTTACTGTATTCTTTAAGTATAAGGAAACCGATGCTTCACGTGCCATTGTTTTGATATTTATGTATGAGTACCCTTTGTGAAAGGGTGTAGGATTAAGAAATTTTAATGTTCTAAGTTTAACTTTTTATGTATTTGCCTATTGCATGTTTTATTAAGTTTGATTAATTATTGTAATCATTATTTAACAAAATGTTATCGACACTTAATTATGATGATAATTTGCACGGTGTTTGTGTGTTTTTGGGATCTCAAAAATAAAGAGCATTCATGCAAAACTTTGTGATTTTATTCGTAATGTCAGCCTTATTATTTTGACAAATTGCATATTTCCTTCACAGAAAACTATACTTACTTTAGAATGAATTTAAAAATCAGTCTACTACCATGAGCCACACATATTTATACCTAAGTATTTAACACAATTAATGAGACTTGAATACTTACAGTAGGTAGAGTGGTCATCCATCAATTTACAGGGAAGAAATATAATTCATTTTATTTCATTGAATATAAAGATATATAAATATAAATAAGATATATAAATAAGATATATAAATATCCTGCTGGCTGAATGTAGTTCTTAAATATTAGGTAAATTAGGTGTCTACGCCGGAACGCATCATTCTTCGTCGTGTATGGAACGCATCCGTAGCGCGAGCGAGAGGTTCGAGCTGCGCGCCTTCCGGCCACTGCCATTCTAATAGTCGCGACGAAAACACACTCAATTATTGTAAACTTATATTATAATTAGCGATTAAAGAAGTACATCTGCAAAGGGATCTACTTATTTATATCGATCATCTGGCGACCGTGCAAAAAGAAGAATAACTGCAATCTTCGGATAAACTACAAAAACCAAAAGGAGTTTGGTGTCAGCGCAACATGGCGGCCAACGCGAACGCCTAAAACAAACGACGACTACGACTATACATATATTATTTGGAAAGAAGACAAGTCCACCTGCGAGCTGCTAGTAAGGATACCTAGCCACCATGGGAAGTGCTCGTTTTTCCTCCTCCTTTCTTTTCCAACTGTCCGCTATCGGGTGAAAGTAATGTAGTCAATTCATTTGATTTAATTTTCTAAAAATTCGTCGTCCGCCATTTGTATGTTTCTATAAAATTAAATTTCATTTTAGTTCGTCATGATTAGAAAGGTTGGTCATTTTCAAGTAATTTTTTCTTATTAAAATTTTAATATATGGCCTAACTTGGGTACTTTCAAGTCGATAATTTAAGCCTTAACTGTGATAGGCACTAGTACCTAGTTAAAACTAATATTTTGCTGCCTTGATACCCTGCCGCCCGTTCTTCCTACATTTATTTTTCATGCCACTCGGCTGAGCATTCTTATTTTCTGGTGTGTGTGACACGCGGCATGGGTTTGCCTACTTCTTGCATATTATGCACATGGGGGTTTCTTTGTTTTCACTGTAAATTTAGCCGTCCTTATTTGCACCATTTTCTAGCTTGCTTTGCTTAGCTTTGCTTCATAAGATTTGCCGAACGTTTCCAGATTCGTATGCTTGGCGCGGCTGTGGGCATAAATATCCAGCCCGTTTTGCATTGCATGAGAGAAGTGCGCCTGTGCTGCATGTAGTATCCATCTACGCCGCGCCAGGTTTGAGCACTACTGGGACGCCGTGCAGTCTGCAATAAGGCGGTGACTTTCCTGTGCTACACACTGCGACTGGAGTAAGGAACAATAATTGGGTTAGATGCACAATTTATTTACCTAGTTCATTATATTTCTTTGTTAATATTTGTTGTGAGTGATTAAATTTAAAGATGTCTACTTCTAAAAGTACTGAACTAAGTACATTGGTTAGGCAACGTGGAAATATAAGAGGTCGTTTGACGACGCAAACACAATACATAAACACTCTCAAGTTAGTGGATTTCTCTAGTTTATCAAATGCACAAGTTATTGAAATTAAATTACATTTAAAAAAGTGTGAAACCTTATATAAAGATTTTGAGACCTTTCAAGACAAAATAGAATTACTTTGTGATGAATCTGAAATACAAGAACAGATAAATACTAGATCTACAATAGAGAATCAGTTCATTACAGCAATTTCAACCTTACAAGATATTTTAGAAAAGTTAAATCCGGTTAATGTCAAATCACAATTACCCTCACAATCTAATGAAAGTTCAGTTAAGTTACCAACCATTAAATTGCCTGTGTTTGATGGCTCATATTTGAAGTGGCTTGAGTTTAGAGATACTTATTTGTCTTTAATTCATGAGAATGCATCAATACAGGATATCAATAAGTTTCACTACCTGCGGGCTTCACTGGAGGGCAGTGCTAGTGAGGTTATAAAGTCATTAGAGTTTACATCAATAAATTATAAGATTGCATGGGATTTATTGTGTGCTAGGTATGATAATAAGAGAGTTCTCATTAATAGTCATTTAAAATCATTACATTTAATCAATCCCATCACAACAGAATCACATAAAGCATTGCGGAACTTATTGGATCATGTTAATAAAAATATGAGAGCGCTTAAGGCCCTTGGTATACCCACAGAATATTGGGATGTCCACATTATATTCATCATAACTATGAAATTAGATGCCACTACAAATATGAAATGGGAGGAATATTTAAGTAATTGTTCTGACAATCCAACTTTAGATCAATTTTATACGTTTATCCGTAACCGTGCTGATGTTTTAGAGAATGCTGTATCTCGTACAACAAATCATAGTGAAAGTTCGAGTAATTCTAACTCAAATAATCATAACAAAAAATTTTGGAATAATAATAATTCAGTTTCAAAAAATAATAAATCATTTGATAACTTAAAGATTTCGAGTCCTGTAGCATCAGGTGAGACTGTATGTGACTTTGTGTGTTTATGTTGCAATAAACAAGGACATCGCATTTATGATTGTCCAAAATTTAAAGATATGGATGTTCCCCATAGGGTAACGGAAGTTAAACGATTAAAAGTATGTCATAATTGTTTACGTGAAGGTCATAACTTTCAGAATTGTCGTCTGAAATCCATGTGTCGTCATTGTAAATATAGTCATAATACTTTGTTGCATTTAAATAAAAATGATAAGCACTTAGAAAATATTAATTCTACAGTTGCTTCACAGTCACAGACACTGCCTCCAGTTACACTGTCTGGCATCTCTAATAGTAGTCAAGTATTGCTGTGTACTGCTGTTGTATCAGTAAAAAATATGATTAATAATGAAACTTACCCTGTTCGCGCGTTGTTGGACAGTGGTAGCCAATCGTCCTTTGTGACTGATAATCTGAAAAGAAAATTAAACTTACCTGTTCACAATATTGAACCGCTCCGTGTCTCGGGCATTAATAATGTTGCATTTAGTATATCTGAACGTGTCACCTTAGGGATAGAATCAAGGAATAAAAATTTTAGTACTATGATAACATGTCTAGTAGTCCCTAAGGTAACAGGTACTTTGCCTAATTCTCCTGTTAATATTCTAGAACTAGACTTACCTCCCAATATTGAGCTTGCAGACCCATATTTTTATTGTCCCGCAGAAGTTGATTTACTGTTGGGCGCTGACATATTTTGGGATTTAGTAGGGTTCAAGCGTATAACTCTAGGTGTAGGTAGACCAGTTCTTCAGGAATCACAGTTAGGTTGGCTTGTAAGTGGGCCAGTGGGTATTTATAAACCTGGCCATGTTATTTGTAATTATACTCATAATATTAATGATAATTTACAGAAATTTTGGGAAATTGAAGAATTAAATTTAAAGATTAATATTGGCACACCTGAAGAAAGGTTGTGCGAGTCCCATTTTCAAGAAAATGTCAAACGCCTTAGTAATGGTAGATTTTCAGTAAAGATGCCTCTGAAGGAAATTCCTGAAGAAGCTCTTGGAGATTCTTTTTATTTAGCCAAAAAGCGTTTTTTATCTTTAGAGAATAAATTAAATAAAAATCCTAATCTAAAAGAACAATATTTTAATTTTATTAAAGAGTATCGTGACTTGGGTCATTTAACTGAAATACAGAGACCTAGTTTTGGTTATTATTTGCCACATCATGCTGTTTTAAAGGAAAAAAGTGAAACTACAAAACTCAGAGTGGTTTTTGATGCCTCAGCCAAAACCACTTCTGGTAAATCTTTAAATGATATTCAGCTTATTGGACCTGTGTTACAAGATGATTTAACTTCAATACTAATTCGTTTTCGATGCTTTAGATATGTAATTACTGGAGACATTCAAAAGATGTACAGACAAATTGAGATTGATCCCAGTCAGCGCCATCTGCAGCTCATATTGTGGAGGGATGATGAAGCAGGATCAGGTTCTGTGTCAGGACATCCACGGCCAATTAAGGTACTCCAATTAAATACCGTTACTTATGGCACGGCCTCAGCGCCCTACTTAAGCACGAGATGTATTCTTCAATTGGCTCGTGAGTGTCCTGACACTACCATATCTAACATCTTAGAGCATGATGTATACATCGACGACCTGACTACAGGCGCCGAATCTAAGGATTCTATAAAGCATATTTATAGTAGTGTAGAAAATGTATTAAATTCAGCTGGTTTTCCGCTACATAAAATTAGAACTAATTGTCCTGAAGCATTTCAGAATGACACTACAACTTCAGTTTTAGAATTAAATAAAGAATCGTCTGTTCTGGGTTTGAATTGGTCACCAGATACAGATACTTTACATTTTAGTACAGATTTAAGTAGTGA